TCATCACCTACTGTTTGCCCAATTTTTGAAAATGCTGACACAAATAAGTTCATTGACCCCTAACTATTAAATGTCTTGAAATGAGACAATTGCATTTTAAGCTGAAACTATAAGTGTTAAATATCCAGTTCTAAAGACATTTTGCAAACACATTATGATTCATAACAAAGTCTACTAGGTATGTACCTAGTTAAGTCTCTGTCACCAAGAACACAAAACTTACCCACTACCAGAATTACCATTGGTCTTGGAGCACCCATCGTTAGATCTGCCCATGTCATCTGCACCAGAGTGAATCACAACTGAGCGTCCAATAATGTCCCACACCTGAAAACAACCACAACACTTGACCAATCACAATGTCTAGATGACTGGCACTTTGTCAATTTAATTCAATCATTTTGAGATAATCAATATTAATCAAATAGCAAAGGCACATCTATTAATTGGTCCAGAAAAGTTAGAAATGAATGGCTTTATGAAACTGTTGAGATTGTTCTCCACACGATGTGAACCATTGTATCTATGTACAAATTTTCAAATAAATAAAACAAAAATTAATAATATAGCCAAAACTGAAATATCCGAAGCCAAAATCCAAAACGCGTAAAACAGATTTAGTGAACTTTTTTGTGTGTGTCCGATCAAATCCTGGTGGCAGCCATGTTAGTTTTTTATTATTAGAGGACACTTACACGTGTAATCGTTCCATATTTGGAACTCACATTTTCTAATATGGTGGGATGCAAATACCCAGTGCAATACTGCAAAATTATGGCACACTGTAACTTATGGCATTATGGTGACAGATGTATAATAATAACTGTTATTTAATTTAAATATGGTAGCCTGTTAAGCAGTCAGTATGTATTTCGGGGGGGGGGGGGGGAGGCAGCTAATAATCCACCATTGTGTGCAGATTTACACCATTCCACAACTGTTTATACTTAGGCATTGTATCAATCCGCTGATCATTTTCTGTTTACAATGTACTTCCTTCCAATAAACACTTTGCCATTGTTTTAATTGTGATAATTGTTGAATGAATGATTTTGGAGCTAGTGGCTTTCTTTTTCACCACTAGGTGGCGCTATACCTGTTTTAATTTTGTTTTAATCTGGCTGTAGCAAATTTGTTACCAAACAGCAAAGCTATTGTGTTTACTCCCAGTGGAGAAGAGTGGTTTTATAATTGTCAAAATAGAAATTATCTGTATATATCTTTCAGTATGAAAAACATATAAATCACAGCTTGGTAAAATATCAATATTTCATATTTAGTGTTGCTAATGAATGAATGACGTATGATAACAAAGAAAACAAGTTAATTAATCATTGACCTAAATCTTAAAACAATATCTCACTGGATAATCCTACACTAGTAGTCAACTAAACCGAGTTTAAAAGTAATTAGAATGATCAAAAGCTCACTTCAAACAACATGTACTGGAAAATGTAGTATTTTGTAAATGGTTTGTTTTCTCGGGAAACAAAATATTTATTAACAAGCAAATAAACACTAGATATTCAATAAATGTACAGTAAAAACCCTATTACAAAAAACCCAAATCCAAACCACCCACCCCACCTAACTCCCACCCCACACACATATATACATATTTTATAATATGGATGACATTTATTCTATTTATTATGAAATAAATTTTCACAAACTGTGTATCCCATAATTTTATGAACTATTATTACAGTTTCTGAAAAGGAATGGGCTGAAAGGTCAAAGTTAAAAAGTATAGGCAAATATCAAATAAAAAAATTTTAGTCATTAAAATAGTTATATAAAAATAGTATGAGGTTATTACGAGAATACCGAAAAGTATGCACAAAGACGGTACAGCTGGAGTATCGACTGACTGACAGCAGAGGTCAATGCGCTGCGTACTGTCTTATTATTATACATTTTTTCCTCCCTTAATCATCCCATATTTGGAATTTGCATTTCCTAATATGGTAGGATGAAAATATCCTGTAAAATACCGCAAAAATAACAACATGCTGTTAGGGTAACAGATGTATAATAATACAGAATCATTTGTCTTAATTAAACTAAAAAAAAAACAGATATCATATAATTTGTTCACCTCTGAACTGATTTATTAGCAACTGATACATTTAACTTACCTTAACTAAGTTGTCTTCTATTGTAAATGCAGCTCTTCCGTTCTCATTACTAGTTATATTACCTAAGTCACCAACATGCTGAATACAAGATATAGACAAGTATTTATGAGATAAAGGTATGCATGGGCGTGATATGCAATGATGTAATCCGAATTGCGATTTGATCACAAGATAGTAAGACAAGACTACATATCTAGGAATTCTGATGCAAATTAGCTAGTCTGCGAAAAAACTGATTCATTTCCATCTCAATCAATTTTGTCCTTACAAAAGCGTTTTACGCTTATGCATGTAGCAATAATCTTGCTAATTTCTATTTACACAATCAAACACCCCAACATACCGACTCCATTTTGTGATACTACGGTACTTGTTAGAAATACATTTGATTGAAATGCATGGAATGAAATTGCTTGATATCAGCAATAAGTGAAATATTACAAGTTGTCTCTTCTTTGAAAGCCCAAAATTTTGATTCAAAATTAATTTAATAAATTAATTTAGAAAAATATATTATAAGTTATACCATGATATATCTATAAAGTTTAACTATGATTTGTCATAGATTTGGCTCTTGAACAGCAATTGTTAAAACAAAATAAAGTCCATGAAGGTCTCATCATGTCCAATGCATGTACCATATTTGTACAAAATCCATACATACATGACCAACAGTTCCAGAATGGCAGAAATGCATGATTTCAATAAATTTCATGTATAAAAATGGCCAGCACATAGGTCAATCCATAAGTTAATTCCCATTTTCAGACTGCGAGAACTAAAACATTTTCCCCCAAATATAGGCAGGAAAAAATATCTGCGCTATCAGAAAATATACTGAAAATTTGTTTTCCCTTTTATATGTGAAAAATAGATACAGTTCCATGTATCTATAGATATGTATCTAACACAAGGGCAATTCATAACAACAATTCTAGAAAATTTTACTCACTGTAGTTTTGTGTGAATGCACGAGAAGAATGAGTAATATCACATGTAATATCACAATTGAGGACATTCTGACATATTGATGCTAACATGGCAAATTAAATAATCAATGAAAAGTTAATTATCTCAGAAGTTATTAATGATTACTATGTTCACCCAGAAAACATATGTTATCACAAGGATGAAACTATTACTGTTACAATACAATGAGTTACAATGAGTGGTCATTGATTGCAAATTTACAGAAACCATACTGCCTGCTATTATAGTACTTCTAACACAAATATGTTGATATATGCATTAGTCTCATCAACATAAAAAAGTGCAGTTATTATACTTTCACAAATTACAAATAAAATCAGAATTATAAAACACATTGTAATAAACCAACTGGCCATAGAGGGCGCCATCTCAAAGCAAACTGTTTTTGTACTTACCCGTGCTTCGTCAGTTGGAGCACCATGAGGTTGCTCATATGGATTGAAATGATCACCACAACTGAAACAAAAATAGTCAAAACCATACAAAAAGGGTCAAAATTTAGCAAATATTTTCAACACATTTGTCAAAAATTTGAGTCACGATTTCCTCATTTCAAATAATGTATGATGTAAAAACATTATTTCATGGAAACTGTGCAGGCTTTCTACATTTCACATCCACTCTTTTCAACCAATCAATAGCTCTTGTGCATTCACATCATACTTTTTCTGCATTGATAGCATTTGGATTGCGCATTCACTGTCCATCACACTGTTATCTCATATTTGCAACAAACATTTATCCACCGCAATGTGGTATATATAGTACCATTGATGTCACTATTTATAAAATACTTTTATTGGTTCTTGGAGTAACTGTCAGACTAATGGACCCACTTTTATCATATGATATACCTG